TGGTTCGCTCTCAAACCAAACCAGTTAAAATCTCAGTATCGTTGCAGTGCTTAATACATACGGTTTCTCTGTATAATAAGCGAGGTAGTTGAACTTTCTGATTCTAATTTAACGGTGGTAGCTCATTTATTGACTCTGTAATTAATTGTGGAAATTACTAATCGAAGATGCTGTAATTTATTTACATTTAAATATTTAATCGTTAATTTAAATCCAGTCCATATATTCAGTGCCGCTTTCTTTGCAAAACGTACTGTATATCAGATGGGATTCAAGGCGCTTGCCGTTCTTCCGGGTTGTTCACCTTGCTTAGTAGCCGAAAAGCCCCTCCACAAAGTCACTGTTATAAGTCATTGTTTACCTAAGCAGTACAGCATCAGTCATCACCAACAGTGATCATGATGTTTTACCTTTGAAGAAATACACTGAACGAATTTCTTTTGTTGATCTGACAATGAAAACCATGTAAACTTTGGCAAAATCGAATATCACTCATGTAAATCATCAGAAAGGTGACAGTAAGATTTCTTTATGAGACCGGATTTCACAGATGTTTACAACTGAGGTTGCGAGATTGGTTGCTTCTCCCATATCCTGATATCATTTGTAAAGCATCCCGCGTCTTCTAGGGCTTTCGTTTATAGTCCGTCATGTCCATTACCGTCAATTTTTAATGCAGATGATAAAGGGCACTATCAAATATAAGATTTTAGAGTGTTTTCATCAGGGGAATGCATACGGTGGTTCTAATCAGTTCATCCGGATGCTCAACGTTAACTAGTATGAAATGTGTTCGCTTTGCTTCTTATTAGCCAAAATCACAAATCTAGAACTGGTAGGATTTTTGGTATAAAGTTGGGTTTGCTGAATCCATGGTTAACGACATGTGAAGATGAACTTTCCTGTTGTTTTGTTTAAGCAGATTATGCTCAAAACAGATATGTTGCGTTATCCGTATGGCACTAGCAGAAATGGAAAAGCTTTTTTCAGCAGCTGTACTAACGTATCTGTTCCTACACAGAACAGTGATGATGATGACGTTTGAACTTCCAACTATGAAATTTTACAAACTTCCCCTGATCGTGTCTCATACGAATGGAGCCCATTTCAACCGACCGTTTAGTTCGTTAATGGTGAGATACCTGATTTCCATTTCCATGCCATCAGCTAGGATGACTTATTTTAGTGGGAGAACGAAGGCAATTACCTGGCAAGCATAATGTGTAGTCTCCTGTTTCTTTCAAACAGAATGGTAATTATGAACCTCAGGAAGCTGTCTCGAACCTGGGACCTCTTAATTTTTAGTTTGCTTTACTGACTGAGCAGTCACGGTCTAAGAACCATCCAATCATACCTGAATATCAAGTAAATGGTTGGGCCGTTTGGAAAATTGCGACCATATGCCCGACTGTCAAAATTGGACGAGTATTTCTAAGAGACATCCTCTTTCAACCTGAGGGTTCAAATCAACATTTTTCAGCGTTGCTCCTGGTAGTTCACCTGCTTCTTTAGTTCCCAAGGTTAAATCAAGAGAACTGTAAGTTTTCAGTTACTGTGTCCTAATGAATGTTAAGTAGTATCTGAAGCATATTAGCAGGTGTTAAACAGTGTTTTCAAGCGCATTTTACGGAACACTATTTGTGAACTTCTTTTTGTATGATAGATTAATTAGCTTGTGTCTGTCAGCGTTACGTTCGCTGCCATCATCCTTAAGTTAATTTGCCTGCCTATTTTTTAGTTTATTTAATTATTTTATTTCTCTAGCTTTTAACATGATTTAATTACGCTAATGTCATGAATTAGTGTTGTGATATATGATTTCTAAGTTTTAAAACTGAGACCCGAATCATCGGAAAATTAATGGACATGCATATAGAATTGTTAGAAATGCAGTGTTGCAAAACTGTTGCTATTGATGTCCCGCATTTCGAGGCCACTAAATGAGCCTTGCAGTAAT